TGAATGGGGGGCAGGGAGCAGGTTGAAAAGGGTTAGTGCAGTGGGAGAAGGTAAAACTGGTATAAATCTTCAGAATCTGATCATTTGGGTAGTTCAGCAGGGATTACACACATGGAAAAGAATGATAAACCAATGAAGAATTTGCAACAAAAATGGAAATCTACAAATGGAAAGAAAATGCTTTTAAGACCTAGAAAAATAATCAATATTAATTTTTATCTGGTGTTATCTTTGGTCGATACAGAAGAAAAAATTCACACAAACCAAAATGAAACAAGAATAATCTGGAAGGTTCTAATCCTATGTCTGCTGAAACTATGTAGGCAACGAAAAGGCAGAAAATAAAACTATTGACAGTTTCAGATAAGGTCCTACTATAGTGGGTATTCAAGGTATTATAAATTCAAGATCATTTCTGCAAGCAGGAATAAAAGAAATGTAAAAGTAGAAACATTTTCTAGTCTATCCAGTAAAACAAAAATGCGTTATACAGAGGAAGTTTCAGAGGAGCCCATGTAAAAACTCCTTAAGAATGTTATAAAAGACAGAGCAATCAATTGTGAATCAAGTAATCTTTGAGGTCCAGAGGCTGAAATAAGGTCTTTCCTACAAAGACAGAGGATATGATCTTTTAACTAGTACAACAAATAAAATGTCTGCGAGCAAAAATAGGAAGAAAACAGGTGATCATTACTTACATAAAGTGACACACAGAGAATACCACAATGATGCCTGTGAGAAAAATCAAGTAGAAAGATGTAGTAGTCCCTGAAGAAAGTATATGCTTAAAGTTTGGAAGCCGAAATAAGATCCCTGTCATCACTAAAATGCAAGGGTCCAATTAACTGTCCTAATATAACAAAGAACACATCTTTGGGAAAACATGGGGAGAAAAGTGCTGATAATCCCTCCTGGAAAATCCAGGTGAGAAAGCAGAAGATAAAGAGGTAGTAGTATATCTAAATCTATTACATTTGAGATTTAGAACAATCCTTGCCAGAGATATGAAAATACTTGATTGTCCAGCATCACAGAGAAAAGCTCCACAGATAACAACAGATTTTAAAAGCTTACAGTCCTTTAGTGGTTAAAGAGGAGAAACCACACCTGGGTCCACATGGAAACACTATGGAAGTCAGATACAAAGAGAAAACAAAGGAAGCATCCTGGAAAATACCATTTCGCCAAAAGAAGCAGCTGTACAAAAGGTGAAGCCATAACCAGAGAGATATGAAATCACAGCAGAATAACATGGAGTTCTAAAAGATGTTTCTGAGGAAACATCTACTGAAAATCTAAAGCAGGATAAGAACAACACACACAAAAAAGAAAATAAGAATAGCAAGATATCAGACAAGATACTTAGCTAAGAAGCTTAAGAGGGATACAAATAATATTATCTGGTTTGGCAACACACATAAGTATGTCCGCCATAGTATAATTTTTGCCATAAAATTAATAAAAGTGGGCTAGGCGTGGTGGCTCATGCCTGCAATCCCAGCACTTTCAGAGGCCGAGGCAGGAGGATTTCTTGAGCCCACGAATTCAAGACCAGCCTGGGCAGCATAGTGATACCTGGTCTCAATGAAAAAAGTTAAAAATTATCCAGGCATGGTGGTGCACTCCTGTACCCAGCTACTAGGAGGCTGAGGAGGGAAGACGGCTTGAGCCTGGGAGGTTGAGGATGTAGTGAGCTGAGATCACACCACTGCACTTCAGCGTGGGTGACAGAGCAAGAACTCATCTCAAAAAATTAATAAATTTTAAAAGTGAGTTCTGTAAATAAAAATGAATAAATGAATAATAAAATTGGGTTCTATATATTTAGATATGGCAAAAGTATTGGTTTTACTTGATATTTGATTATTTTTACAGACAAAATTTTACAAAGGAATACTGTAACTTTTCTGGTATTACCCATATGGAAGAAAGAATGGCTTAATTTTTTGCCATTAGCTGTTGCTAATTCATTCCTTGGTTGACAAAATACCTTCCCTTAGTGTACCAGTTATTAGCCTTTTCATCAATGCATGGAAGGCGAATGAAAAAGTAAATCATAAACTACTGAGGTCAGATATAAACTTACCAAGTATTCTATTATTGATCAGTTTTAGAAACTTACACTTTGAAGAGATGGCTAATGCTCGTTGTTCAAAATAAAACTCAACATACATCATTATTTCTCTCAAGCTGGAAATCCAAATTAATTACAATTCATAAAATTTTAAAAGTCAGTGCAGAATATTGTATAAATCTAGACATCATATTCATGTTTATATCAGTTTCAGCTTTGAATTGTTTCCATTGTTTCCTTTATTAATTCCACTTGAGTGAAACTGTATGCGAAAAGTACAACATTAAGGTACTTAGCATATTGCCTTTTAAATTGTTAAGTGAGTCCATTTCCTTAATATTCCCTTTGGCCTTTACAATTGAATCTTGCTTTCCTTATAGAGTACATTTCATGCCCTTTGACATAATTGCCAATGCCATTTTCCATGGTTGAAGCACACTCACATTTGCAGAATGTGGCAATTAATGGCCTCTTAAACTATCATTCTATCTCAAGGAGACATTTTCCCTTTGGTTATGATATTGAACACCCATAACAAATTGCTTTTAAGCAACTGGTGATTATACACACACACACACACACACACACACAATACAGTCATCCCTAAGTATCCATAGAGATTGGTTTTAGGACCCCTTGCCGAGGTCAAAATCAACTCCCTGATATAAATGGTGTAGGAGGCTGTAACCTATGCATATCCCCCCATATACTTTATATCATCTCTAGATGACTTATAACACTTAATACAATATAAATGTTATGTAAATAATTGTTATACCATATTGTTTAATTAGCATTTAAAAATGTTATATTATTTTCTTAAAAAAACTTCAAAAAATTAAAAAATATATATTTTCTATCTACAGTTGGTTGCATCTGCGTCTGCAGAACCCACAGATACAGGAAAGCCAACTGTACATATACAATATGCATATTTATATATCTAGCACCTAAATTTAGAAAATCAATCATTTTTTTCACATTCCAGATGCATTACAATATGCAGGATCATTATTTCCCTACTCATGAGAAGTCAGTGAAAATAAAATGTGCTTAAAATGTTTCAGTATTCAAATTACTTTGATAACTGAAAACCAGGAGCAAAAGTTCACTTAGTACTAGAAAACACTGCACTCCCAGGTGGGTTTGGTTAAGATATGCCACAGGCTGGGCATGGTGGCTCATGCCTGTAATCCCAGCACTCTGGGAAGCTAAGGCAGGCAGATCACTTGAACCCAGGTGGATGAGACCAGCCTGGGCAACATGGCAAAACCCAGTCTCTACAAAAAAATACAAAAATTAAGCTGGGTGTGGTGGCATGCACCTGTAGTCCCAGCTACTCGGGAGGCTGAGGTGGGAGGATCCCTTGAGCCCAGAAAGTCAAGTCTGCGGTGAGCTGTGATCATGCCCTGCACTTCAGCCTGGGCAACAAAATGAAATCTTTTCTCAAAAAAAAAAAAAAAATAGATAGATATACCATAAAATTAATATTCTATATTAATTCCATTAATACTTCATGCCATAAGTTAATACCATATTATTCTACATATATTTGAAGAGCACAATGTTTTATCCTACACTTTTACTACAGAATATTAAAAATAAGTAAAATCATTTCTTTAATTTTTTTCAGGTAACAGAATAACTATTTTCTGTATTAATAAACACATGCAATTACATATAATAGATTCTGTCTAGGTAACAAATAATTTCCAGGTGAAATCTATAAAACTTAACACCCAGATACTGCCCTTACTGCTTTAAAAATGTTTCTATCCAGGCAGTTCAGCGTTACAAACACACAGGTTCTGTGTATGTTAATATGGGCTGTTATATGTATATGTATTACCAGGAAACATGCTCATTTATCACTAATAAAAACCGTTTTAAAGAATTTTTTTCCACAGAGTTATGCCTGAACAAAATTGTCCTTGGTAAATCAGTGGATTGCAAGAAAACAAACAAAAAAACACTCCACAGCAGACTCAAATTCATTTCTATTGAACTGAGGAAAGTGAATAAAAGCTTGTGGATTGGGCTGGTAAAAAAGACAGGTGAAAACCTGTTTTTTTGTTTATTTGTTTTTGAGATGGAGTTTCGCTCTTGTTACCCAGGCTGGAGTGCAATGGCGCGATCTCGGCTCACCGCAACCTCCGCCTCCTGGGTTCAAGCAATTCTCCTGCCTCCGCCTCCCTAGTAGCTGGGACTACAGGGGTGCGCCACCATGCCCAGCTAATTTTTGTATTCTTAGTAGAGACGGGGTTTCACCATGTTGACCAGGATGGTCTCGATCTCTTGACCTCGTGATCCACCCGCCTCGGCCTCCCAAAGTGCTGGGATTACAGGCATGAGCCACCGCGCCCGGCCGAAAACCTGTGATTTTCAAGTTCAATAGAACCTCATTGTGTGATTATCATCAAATGTATACTACTTTATAGACATTCTAGATTTTTAAGGAGAGAAATGTTCCATAGTTGATAAAAGAGATATATACTTGATCCATTTTGTAAGTATTTTTTATAGAATTTTGTTGAATTTCTTTAAGATGTTCAGTAACTACATATAGACTATGCTTCTTATACTGGTACAGGTATTTGGATATTTAGGTTGATGTTTCAGATACAGGTAACATTTGTGAAATTTCTAAAACAGTGTAACCTCAAAGAATAAATCATTTTTTAAAATACGGCAACTTTCCAGTTTGTTTGAATGGTGAGTAGTATTGATAGCCACATGTAACAAAAATTTATGATATTTGAGTAATATTAATATATGTGATCATCTCTATAAGTAATTAAATTTTGTACCATTCTCAACTGATATAGCCTCATCTCTTGATACTTTTATCAATTCACAGCTCAAATTGCTTTAAATGACAAATACATATTTCATATTTTGATACACTACCATATAGCCACACATCTGATAAAATTTGCACAGAGAAAAGATTTTAATGTTTTGCTATGTTTTAATACACTTGAAATGATTTTTCTTTAGTCATAGGGTCATTAGTTTTTAGAAATTTAAAGTTAAACATTCTTTTTTATTACATTTTAAAATTTCTCAGAAATGTCAGACTTTTTCAACCAGCCTTTAAAAGTTTAATCAAATATTTTTCTTCTAATACAAGTTAGATATTTTAAGATTTTTCAGGAGTGTCAGACTTCTTTAATCAGAAGAACAATGTTCTAAAAACAGGTATGAGATCCATGTGTGTGATTGTTCTTGATACAACATTCATGTTTTCTCAAGCAGAGAAACCTTTTGTATTTGTTTTCCTTCTCCTTTCATGAGAATGACAAACTGTAATACATTATTATAAATAATGTGTATACAGTACATAGACAATATGCATATGTACATTACACACAATGTATTAAAATAGGTTATATTACCTTTTACTTTTAAAGGGTATGTCACAGAACAGGAAACTGATACATTTGTTTCTTAAGAGAAGCTGATCAAATCCTTCTGTAGCACATTACTGCACAATTAATGGCTTTAAACAAAAGTTACAAGTCACAAGTGTTTATGTTTTAGATCATGTTGTGGAATGTACTCCAAATGAAAAATGGAGGAGAAAATGCACAACATCATATGTTTCATGATATGGCATGTACATGTCAATTATTTTTACATATAACTATGTGGTGAATGATAAAATTAAGCACTATACTACATAATGCATACAGTTATTATTATAAAAAGTATATATTATGTCACAGTACTAAAAATAAAATATATTCTCAAATAGTGAAAATAAGATATCCTTCATGTTTATTATGTCAAATATGCTTCCTTGTTTGACCATACCTCTGTTTATCTTTTTTAATGAAATAATGTCCAATGTTTTATTGAACAATAATGAGTGTGGGCAATTTCCTGACCATTAATGGCCTACAAAAAGTGATTAAGACGATTACCTTGCCATGAATTTGCTGAAATACCCTCCTGTTACGTTCAATGCATGGCAAAAATATTAGAAGAAAAGACAAATAAATAGAAATACCTTCTCAATTATTGAACAATCAAAAGTCCAGCCGAATGGATATACGTAGTTGCTGCGCCCTGAGTCTGTACAGCAACTCACCGCGTAGCACAGGTGTTCCCCTCCCCCACGCCCCGCGCTCCGGCTCCTTGTGAAACACCAGCTGTGACTATTTGCCGGATCAGGAAGACACCGAGGGGTTTTTTGGGGGTCCGCCGCGTGGGAGCGAGTCCATCATACCCAAGTGCCGCTCTCCACACCCACGCGCAGCAGTCCCGGGTCGCGGCTCGTCCCCAACGGCTCCGCGCCCTGTGCCCACCCTGGGAGACCGTGACCTGCCCGAGGGGCAGGTAGGGAAAGGAGTGGAACCGCGCTTTCTCCTCAGCCCTGAAGACCGCCCTTCTCCCGACGCACCGAAGGGCTCACGTGTTCTGTTCAACTTGGGAAGCAGGCACTTACGAGTGAACCACAGGACCAGGTAAGGCAGAGGGCGGGGACGTCCTTCGAAGGTGCGTTCGAGGGTCGCCTGCTGCAGCCGCAGCCGCGCGCGTGCCCCACGTTTCTTTCAACGGAACGAAACGCAGGGAAACCTAACCTCCCGGGAGAACGCTAGGGAGACGAGTGACCACAGCCCAGTCTCGGGGTGCCAGGCAGTTAGGCCGGAGTGCCAGATAGGGTCTGAGGCAGTTGGCGGCAGCGGCGGCGGCACCCCGGCCGTTGCGTGCCCCCCGCAGCCCCCGGCCCTGCACCAGCCGCCGATCCCCGGGCGCTCAGATGAGGGGGAAGCGGCCCTCGCCGCCGTCGGGCTCCGCGGCGCCCCCGCCTCGCGGGCGGCCGAGCACCGACACCGGGAGCACGACCTCCCCGGGGCTGAGCTGCTGCAGCCGCATGGACTCCTCGTAGGTGGGCAGGTACTTGACCTCCTCGTAGCTGGGCAGCTGCAGGAAGGCCGGCGACACGACGCGCAGCTCGTGCGCCGAGGGGCAGGAGGGTTCCGAGCGCCCGCAGCCTCCCCGGCCCCGGCCGCTGCCGCCGCTGTCCAGCAGTGAGTCCTGCGAGCCGGCGGCCGCCTCGTCGCGCAGCAGCGCGGGCGAGTCGTCGTCGTCGTCGGGCGGCCCCGCGCCGCCCAGCGGTCCGGCGCCCCCCGGAGGCCCGGGCCGCTGCCCCGGGCGGGCCTGGCCGCGCGGGTACCTGCGTGGACTGGGGCAGATGATGCGCTGCAGGAAATAGCCGATGGCGAAGAGCACCAGCAGGATGAGCAGCCCCGAGAGCTTGCGGACGAACCAGCCCACGTTGTCCAGGAAGGCGTGCAGCGGGAGCTTGCAGCAGCGCACCGCCGTGGCGTTGGTCGCGTCGCAGCAGCGCTCCCGCTCGCCGCACGCCAGCTCCGCGCAGCCCCCGCCGCCCCGCGAGGGCGCCACCAGCGCCAGAGCCAGCAGCAGCAGCAGCGGCAGCAAAGGCGGCGGCGCCGGAGCCACCGACAGGCCCTCGGCCGTGACCCCGGGTCCCCACATGGCCCGCGCAGACCGCGGCTAACGTCCGGGAAGGGAGGCTGAGGAGTCCGCCCGCCCGCGCGTCCGTCGGCCCCTCCCCGGCGCTCCGCTCGGGTACCGCGCGCGCCGCCTCCCGCGCCTCAGCTACCTGCGGCCGGAGCAGTCCTCACTTGGCCACGCTCGGGCGGGAGGAGGAGCCCGCGGCGCGCGGAGGCTGCGGGAGGCGGCGGCTACTCGCGGCCCAAGCAGTTTCCCTAGCTTCTGACCTTAACCTCGCGCGCCCAACCGCCCGGGCCCGGTGCGAGGCGTCTGGAGCCGCTCTAAGTGGCAGAGGCAGCCTGCGCGGGGCTGCCGCGGGCATCTTGGCCCAGGCCGGCCGCGTCTTTCCTCCCTTGCCTAGTCGCTCTCTGGGACTGGAAGGGTTAACGCTCCGCTCTCAGCTCGGGAGCCCCTTGATCTTGATTAACCCAGTCTTCGCGCTTAGGCCCGCCAGACGGGCGGGGGCTCTCGCTCGCTTAGGTGTCTCGGTTTTAAGTGATTGGATTTCCCCAGGAATGTTATTTAAATTGACTTGCGACTGGGATTCGCTTATCATCTTTCTTGTGATCTTCTGATTAAAAATAGATGATGGCCATTAATGGCTAGTGCAGCCCCACTGCTGTCCCACAGTTTGGGGGTGGGGACCGGCGGATAATTCTGCTTGCAGGCAGGGAGCTGGGAAGCTGGGATTCCCAGGAAACCTTCGGAACAGGTAGAGAATTTCTAGTAGAGAGGCAGGTCAGGGCACCACAGAGGTAGCCCCAGAGGGACAGGGAAGCGTTCTGTCAGAGTGACCTTAGTTAACCAAGGAGAAATGAGGGGACGAATATTTTCCCAGCGGCTCATCCGACAAGCCCCCACTGAGTCCGCAGCACGGAGCAGAGATTTGGATTGCGGGGGTGAAAGGAGGCCCCTTCTTGAGCGCAAATAACATATCCGTGAAACGTCTAAGGAGGTTGCATGTGATTGGCAACATTCTTGAGCATTGATCTGCGCCTAAAGGGTCTTTTGCAAAGTTTGACTTTAAAGGGAGCCTGAGCTTCCATTTAACACGGAACAGCGTTTACCTTGCCTTGGTGTCACCAGTCTCTGGGGAATCCCGTTAGCGCACACCGCACACGTAAGGGGTGGCAGTTACCGCGGTCCCTGACCGGCAGGCACACACATCTACATGGTGTAATTAAGCTCTACCTCCGTGTTGGATAGAGCCACACCACGGGGAAGCCAGGAGCTTGGCACTTTTATTAAAGTAGACTGAAGTAGCTAATCATTCCCTCACCCCTTAAACACAAGGACCCCTTGAAGAGAAACCAAAGGGAAAATTTCATAATCACTGAGAGGAAAAAAAGTAAAAGCAAAGGAACAATATAGAGACAAGATTCCGCCGTGGATCAGATAAAAGCAAAGATTTCTCCCTAAGTCATGGTATATCTCCATAAGACAGTGATGATGGAACAAGAAGGTTGTCAATGATAGTTTGAAACAGGTCATTGCTCAGCCTCAATGAAACATTTTAAACATATCTGTTGCTGTGAACACTAACTTTGCCTCATACTCCAAAATGATCCTTTCTACTCACAGGGAAGCTTCTAAGTGTTACTCCGACAAGATATGGTATGTAAAGCTTGCTTCGGCACAGGCCCCTTTTTTTCTAAGCTCTTCAAAAGCCACATTTCTGTTATGATCTATTTCTTTGTAGGGAGGCATAAAACCTATTTTGCAAAGCCTGATTGTCAGTGGATTTCAAATTGTAGTAAAATCATGGGATGAAAACGATTCATTTTAATACAGTTAAAATCGTGATTTTTTTTTTTTTTTTTTTTTTTTTTTTTTTTTTTTTTTTTGACAGAGTCTTACTCTGTTACTCGGCTGGAGTGCAGTGGCACTATCTCGGCTCACTGCAACCTCCCCCTCCTAGGTTCAAGCAATTCTCCTGCTCCAGCCTCCTGAATAGCTGGGATTACAGGCATGTGCCATCACACCTGGCTAATTTTTGTATTTTTAGTAGAAATGGGTTTTCACCATGTTGGCCTGGCTGGTTTTGAACTCCTGACCTCAAGTGATCTGTTCGCCTCAGTCTCCTAAAGTGCTGAGATTACAGACATGAGCCACCATACCTGGCCAGAAAATAATATTCTTTCATTCACCCATTCTTTCACTAAATTTACATAGAATATTTTCTCTGAACAGAAAAAAGCTAACTCCTCCCCAGAATGGAGTAGACCCAGGTCCGCACTCGCAGCTTCAACTAAATGCAGTAAGGGAGAGATTCCACAGAAGGAAACAAATGGCAGTTTCCTCTTCCATCATGACTTGTTCTTACTCTCCCAAAGGAAAAATAAAGTTAATGAATTTCAAACAATTTCAGGAATGAAGGCAGTTCATAGCTTGAGATGGGCTTTGAATATGAAATGGAAAAAATATTAACCTTTTTGGGTTTTGATTATTTGAGTGTTTGGGATTTCGACCAGTAGTAGCAGGAGCAGTGGCGCAAGTATAAGAGGTTAAATGGCTGATGATCAAGAGAAAGTCTCCTGCTTATTATTATTTTGAAATTACTAAGCAGCATTTAAATAGTTTCATTTCTATCTACCTTTAAATAGTTAGAATTTGTAGAATATTAGGTAGGACACAGTAGAAGAACAACATAGATTGTATATAAAATAAAACATTGGTGAAGTTATGTATATGAATTTTTCTTTCCAAATCGATAGGCCCAAAGCATCATCCATGAAAGAACCTCTACAGAAACTGGCACCTCTTTATATTTCTTCTCTGATCTCTCAGGTTTCACTTAATTAATTTTGATTTGCCATGTAATATATTGTGTACAATCTTTCAAAGGAAAAGATAGAAACCCTATAGCTTTAAAAGCCCCTGAAAAGACACAATCTTCATAACTCAGCATCCTCATTCTTTTTTTTCATATTCAACACACAAATAAATGGGGTACATTGAGCTGCCAGAAAGTCAAACTCAAGCCACTTAGTGATGAAGATAGAATTTAATACTATGTTTCATAGAATGACCACAGTGCAGAAACTAAAACCTCATTTTGTTAAAAAATTGCACCAAATGTGTTGAGAACAAGAGTGAGAGAAAAAATTGTAAAACAGGAGGGGACTTAATCTTTTTCCAAAAAGCAGGGGCGTAAGGATAAAGATTAAGAACTTAAACTTCTTTATCACGCTGCAGAGCTTGAATGATAGTTTTTGAACATTTTCTCTTCCTGATTTATTTGTATTGACATGAATGAATGCCAAATTGGCCATACTTTTCAACTTGCTAAAACAGAAGAAAGTACACAGAGCACAGCAAAACTGGCTGCTGTTTTACCTGTGTCTCTGGGCGCTGTCTTGTTAACTTGAGAAAGACAGTGGCTCCATCATGTAACCGTCTGTTCTAGCACATGACACAGGCCCAGAAGGAAATTTTTCTCTGATGTCTGCTGACTGGCTTGTGCCTTCAAGCCTGAAAAGTGATGGCTCTGCCCTTTTCACGTCCCTTCCTTGAAATGTCTAGGCTTGGGTAGTTGGGACCTTGTAAACTGTCTAGTCCTTAAGGATCCCTTATTCAGGATGTGCAACACCTTTCCTTACTACTAAATTATGGTCATTGATTTCTTAACCCCTCATTGTATGATTTCCCTCTGCTTGCAACATGCTTTCCCGGAGCAACAGTAAATTAAGAGTTTCGTTATAAAGAGCATATATTTACATGAATATACCTACCTAGAAATGATGTAAGAGCTGAGATAATTTTCTTTGGCATTCTTTTCAGATCGTATTTCTTTCATCACTCATTCAGTAAATATTTAACGAGGGCCCGCTCTGAGCTAGGCATTCTGCTCCACTCTGAGGATACTATGAAATCAAACAGTTGTTGTCCTCAGGGAGCTGATTAGAGGAGGGGGAAGAGAACAACAGTCAAACTGTCAAAATAATGAACTGATCATTCCAATGATCAATGCACACACTGGAGTAACGCAGGATGCTCTGGGTTTTTGCACTGGACATGATCTGGATTGGGTTAGGGCAGTGGTGTTGGCTGGAAATACGTCCCTAAGAAGGACCTCCTTAAGAAGGACAGCAAGGAAGCTGGGTGTGGTGGCTCACACCTGTAATCCCAGGACTTTGGGAGACCGAAGTAGTGGATCACGAGATCAGCAATTTGAGACCAGCCTCACCAACGTGGTGAAACCCTGTCTCTACTAAAAGTACAAAAATTAGCTGGGCATGATGGCACTTACCTGTAGTCCCAGCTACTCAGGAGGCTGAGGCAGGAGAATCGCTTGAACCCGGGAGGCAGAGGTTGCAGTGAGCTACTATGGTGCTCCTGTACTCTAGCCTGGGTGACAGAGCAAGACTCTGTCTCAAAAAAAAAAAGAAAGAAAAAAAAAAAAAAAAACCACCAAAAAGCAAAAACGGACAACAAGGGGAAGCAAAAGGGGTCCTCTGGGCAGAGGAATCATCATGGATATGACACAAGCCTCCAAGGTAGGAAGACACTTCACATGTTATCTCTTATGATTGAGGCAAAACTTGTATAATTTCTATCCCAGCAATTTTGACTCTGCTCCTAGATTAACTTTATGTAGAGTCAAGTCACCTCTGTTGCCATCCAACTTTAAACTGAAATGGATTCTCTGCAGTGGTCTAACAGGCTGTGTGGTTGTACTTATCTTCATATTTGGTCCTGCCCAGATTCCCCTTGGAGACTAGGAAAGTTCCAATGACATTTCCTGTTCTTTTCACCTTGACACCCTTGACTCGGAGTGGAGTTCAGATTTCCCCTTTCAACTTTATGAGTTGGTAGCTGCCTGACAAATTCTTGCGCAAGCCAAATGCTTGAAGTAGGAGAAAAGTCCAAGTGGGATGCTTTGTATCTTTTGTGCAAATTAGGAGCAAAAGGAAATAGCTTTCTCTCAAGCTTTAAGTTAGAAACAAAAGGTTGAGTAATTCCAGGCGCTTATAAAACTAATACCTAGGTTTATATTTGGCCTTTTAGTGTTTCAGATAACTTCCACATGCATTGTTTTTTCTCCTTACTACATTTCTATAAGATGGGTTAAAGTTATTATTATCCCTTTTCACCAATGAGGATAGGCTAAAACAGCGAAATCACAGGGTAAATTAATGGTGGTGGTCACACTGGAATCCAAGGCTTATAACTCCAAATCTAGTTAAAAACAATAGGCTGGCATCTCACTCCCTTACTGATTTGAGCCAGACAGACCAAAGGGATCACTGTGGCAGGAGTCATCTGACTTCCCTTTGACAACTCCTGATACATCATGAGGCCAATTCTAAGGAAAACGACTTGGAGTTAAGCTGGGCCAGGCATGGTGGCTCATGCCTGTAATCCCAACACTTTGGGAGGCTAAGGCAGGTGGATCAGGAGGTCAGGAGTTCAAGACCAGCCTGGTCAAG